TAACAATTTATAAACTATCAAGCGCTCATGAGGGAGGGAGGAGCAGGGACGGGGGGCAATGAGGACCTAATGTCGGGGTTTAAGTGGAGAGAAAATGTTTTGAGAATGATGTACAAATGCGCTTTACACAATTGATGTGTGTATGTATTGGGATAACAGTTGTATGAGCCCCTAATAAAATGATTATTAAAAAAAAGAAATCAAACAGATTATATCCTTGGTAGGACACAATGGAGAAGCTTGATATCAGCACCTGAAATCAGGCCAGGGGCCGACTGTGGACAGACCATCAATTGTTCATATGTGAATTCAGGATAAAGCTGAAGAAAATGTAAACATTGCCTCGTATCCATGTCGAAGTTGGACATTGAATACGATAGACCAAAGAAAAATCTATGCATTTGAATTGCAGTGCTGGAGAAGAATATCGAAAGTACCAGGGACTGCTAAAAGGACAAGCAAATCTATGTTGGAGGGAGCAAAACCAGAGTGCTCCTTGGAGGCAAGGATGACAAGACTTCGCCTTGTGTACTTCGGAGGTGTTGTAGGAAAGACCAGTCCCTGGGGCAGGCATCTTGCTTGGCAAAGTGGAGGGGCAGTGAAGGAGGGGAGGCCTTCCACACGACGGACGGACACAGGCTGCACCGATGGGCTCAGGCATGGGAACGACTGTGAGGATGGCACAGGACCGCGCAGCATCTCACTCTGTTATGCACAGGGCCACTGTGGGTCAGTCAACTAGATGGCACCTAACAACCACAACACGTGTGGCAGTCACATCATCTCCTGTCAACTCGAGGAAGGGGTGGAGGCTAGCCTGTCAATCAGGTCACAGCTTGATGACTTCATTTGGAGGCACAGTGGAGATAAATAGCTCACTGGAGGCTAGACACACTCTCTGTTTTGTATTCCTGATGGCAATTCCCGAGACTTCCACCACCACTGGATCCACAAGACTTCCCACCCACTGGCTGTGATCTTCCCGCAGTTGGTGTCATTGCATGTGTTGGGTGAGTCTGAAGAGGAATTTATAGACGTGTATTGGACGTATGGGCTAATATCGGACTTATGGACTTGATCTGGACTGGACTGGGGTGGTTTCTCAATATATAATTACTCTTTCTATAAAGCTCTTTCTTAAACACATGTGAGTGTCTAAGACTTTGTTTCTCTAGTCAACCTGGACTAACACAGTCCAGACTAACACCGTTGGTCCAGTGGCAGTGGAAGCATCTCAGTGCTGGTGTGGGTCTCCACGTGGCTCCTCCAGCTCCAGGGCTCTGGTTCCATCAGTGTAGCTCCATGTGACTTGTCAGCAGGAAGACAAAGCAGCAAGAGAGAGTGTGTGTCACCTCCAGGGAGGAAGGCAGGAGTTCCCAGAATCCTCAGGAGAAGGCCATGCCCACACAGAAGCCTCATTGCCTATGACTTGCTTGATAGGCTAGACTCCACCCCTTCAAAATTTGACAGGAGATTATGTAACGCCACATGGACTAACACAGCATGTAATTAATTATTCACTATGTGGGACAATCAATGCATTCTGGGTCTCTTCCAAGTAATGGCTAGTTGTGACCTCCCTCGAAAACTTTGACAACAAGATTGTCCTCCCAGGAGTTTCCAGAACGCTCTCCCAGAGATGACACTGCCTGTCTTGGAAACTATTGCATTACTCCAGCTTACTACTGTAACGATCTTAGCTCTGTACAGAGGGTAAAGCTAGCTCAACTTCTTAGCCATCTCCAATTACCTGCGTGGTGTGAGTCACTATGCCTAGAATCTTGAAACCATAGTTTTGGAGGGACATCAGGTCACTTGGCATAACTTAATTCACAGAAACAATGTTCTACATTCTACTCTGTGAGTAGCAACGGGGGTCTTCAGAGTTTGTGTGTGCCACCTCAGGTGGTACTATTGGGCTCCCCCATCCGGAGCAAGCAAGAGTGAAGAAAATAAAAACACACGTAAACAATTAGTCCAGGTCTGTCCAGATAAAATAGGCTGGATGAACAATCTAGAGGAGAAAACAACAGGACCGACAGTTCCGG